TGCAGACTCTTTATGATGTGTTTATATTGTACGGTCAGGTTCGACAATCCTAGGATTGGAGATATCTTGCAGAAGTTGGCGCCGTTCCTGAAGATGTATGCCGAGTACGTCAAGAATTTTGACAACGCCATGGAAACGGTGAAAGTGTGGCTGGAGCGGTCTACACAATTTAAACATGTTGTCGAGGAAATCCAGGTGAGGCTTCTTCTCTCACTCTTCTCTCGAAATTACATAGTAAGGTTGAAAAAAGACACTTCGAGTCCGTCTATAGAGAAAAGAGAATCATTTTAGAACTACACTGAGCTCTGTCTGCTCTGCACTGGCCCTCCAGCTGTTGTGGAACTACAAGTCCCATGAGGCAATTCAAGATTGACAGTTACAGGCATGACTGCTAGAGGTCAGAGGCACGTTGGGAATTGTAGTTAAAGCACAGCTGGAGGACCAGAGTTGCCCACCCCTGGCCTAACATAACCCAGTGTACTATTAAAGCTGAACTCCGGCTTTCCCTTCAGTCTTGCACATTTGTACCGGCTCCTCTCCTGGACTGAAATTGCTTATTCTGATTTCACTGCACACTGTGAGCTTCTTCTAATGTGCATTCAAAACTGCAGCAAGTCAGAACCTGCCTCATTTCCTGGCTGGACGACATCCAGCATTATCCATTTCTTTCCTTTCCAACATTACTATTCCTGGGCTGCCCCTTCCATTCATTGGATTTCAGTTCTTAGTCATGGATCACATTAGACGCTCTTCATGCAAATGAAACCTGTCTAAGAATGGCCACTCCTCCAGACTGACACCCAACCATCAAGGCATTTTCAGATTTGCATAACACTTCCCAAGATCCAGCCTGCTGCTTGCATCAGGGTTGAAGGCTCTTGAGAGGAGTACTATGGCAGGGTGATGTGTTGCTTTCAGGCAGCCATGTACAGCACCATGCCGTCCTTTCCCACCAGCCATTATCTGTCTACATTGCAAAGAGGAGCATAGGGACCCAGTGATTACATCACTGGGTCTACAATAAGGTATGCAATGAAAACAGTTTTTTTTTAACTATCAGCATATTGATGAGAGGTGAAAAAGGAAGAACCAAGAAAAGCAAAATACGAGCCGATCAAACTTCAGCTTCAATGACGCATTTCATCCAAAATCTTTAGGGCCTTGTTCACACAGGTGTAAAAAGGAAGAAACTATAGATGTGAATTCTTTGTGGATTGCGATCAGCTGGTGTTGATATTGATGTTTCCAGATAGAGCAGTATTACATACAATGTAACAAAAGAAAAGATGATAAATAAATACTGTGAACATAAAAAACATGCTGTAACCCTTTTACATAGTAGAATAAAAATACTTTCCTTGCAGAAAAACATTGTGCAATCATTTTTTCCATTTATATCCTGACTAAAGGCCCACTTTACCCTGGAAGCTCAGTCCTTGCCTCTGGGGGAGCTTATAGAAACGTACACATAAAAATATCAGCCGCTCCTTTTCATATGAAAGGTTGATGACTCCAGATACGGTTGTACCCTGACATGCTAAATGGTGCTCTGTGCAATTCATTGATTTGCAGGGACCTCTAGTGTTGACATTTGCAAAGGCATGGTACAGGTTTACTTTGAAAGCATGGGCATACTGTTTTTTTTATTGGGGCTGGTATATGTTCTAAATTACGTATTGTGTAGTCAACCAGAAATTATATTTAATTTCTCGAAGGGCACAGCTAGGTGGTGATTGGCTGCTCTGAGTAACCAGCCCTGCCTGCAGTGCATACTGTGTTATGAAATAAAGGCCTTTAGAGTTGGTAACATTAAGCTCTGCATGTGTGTTTCAGAGGGAAGGAAAGTGTGGAAGTTTAACCCTTCAGCACCACATGTTGGGGCCTGTGCAGCGCATCCCACGATATGAGATGCTGCTTAAGGATTACCTCCGCAAACTGCCTGAAGACTCCTTCGACAGAAAGGATGCAGACAGTAAGAGCAAGCAATGTTATTTACTACTGACAAGTGTTTTTGTTGATTTTATTTAAAAGGGATCTTCTTTTTTTTTTTTAACACCCTATCTGTTTTTGACATGTCCTCCTGTTTTACCATGAGCTGTAATTCAGAGTTCAGTTATAGCACCATTCACAGGTGAGATGTGACATTGCAGTTCATGCACTGCAACATAACAATCTTCCTATAAGTACACTATATTACCAAAAGTATTGGTACACCCCTCCAAATCATTGGATTCAGGTGTTCTGTGAAATTTTCTTCCTACTAAATATTCCACGGTCAACTGTTAGTGGTATTATAACAAAGTGGAAGCAACTGGGAACAACAGCACCTCAGCCACGAAGTCGTAGGCCACGTAAAATGACAGTGCGGGGTCAGCGCATGCTGAAGCGCACAGTGTGCAGAAGTTGCCAACTGTCTGCAGAGTCAATAGCTACAGACCTCCAAACTTCGTGTGGCCTTCAGATTAGCAAAACAACACTGCGTAGAGAGCTTCATGGAATGGGTTTCCATGGCCGAGCAGCTGCATCCAAGCCTTACATCACCAAGTGCAATGCAAAGCGTCGGATACGGTGGTATAAAGCACGATTTCTTTCCTTTCCAACATTACTATTCCTGGGCTGCCCCTTCCATTCATTGGATTTCAGTTCTTAGTCATGGATCACATTAGACGCTCTTCATGCAAATGAAACCTGTCTAAGAATGGCCACTCCTCCAGACTGACACCCAACCATCAAGGCATTTTCAGATTTGCATAACACTTCCCAAGATCCAGCCTGCTGCTTGCATCAGGGTTGAAGGCTCTTGAGAGGAGTACTATGGCAGGGTGATGTGTTGCTTTCAGGCAGCCATGTACAGCACCATGCCGTCCTTTCCCACCAGCCATTATCTGTCTACATTGCAAAGAGGAGCATAGGGACCCAGTGATTACATCACTGGGTCTACAATAAGGTATGCAATGAAAACAGTTTTTTTTTAACTATCAGCATATTGATGAGAGGTGAAAAAGGAAGAACCAAGAAAAGCAAAATACGAGCCGATCAAACTTCAGCTTCAATGACGCATTTCATCCAAAATCTTTAGGGCCTTGTTCACACAGGTGTAAAAAGGAAGAAACTATAGATGTGAATTCTTTGTGGATTGCGATCAGCTGGTGTTGATATTGATGTTTCCAGATAGAGCAGTATTACATACAATGTAACAAAAGAAAAGATGATAAATAAATACTGTGAACATAAAAAACATGCTGTAACCCTTTTACATAGTAGAATAAAAATACTTTCCTTGCAGAAAAACATTGTGCAATCATTTTTTCCATTTATATCCTGACTAAAGGCCCACTTTACCCTGGAAGCTCAGTCCTTGCCTCTGGGGGAGCTTATAGAAACGTACACATAAAAATATCAGCCGCTCCTTTTCATATGAAAGGTTGATGACTCCAGATACGGTTGTACCCTGACATGCTAAATGGTGCTCTGTGCAATTCATTGATTTGCAGGGACCTCTAGTGTTGACATTTGCAAAGGCATGGTACAGGTTTACTTTGAAAGCATGGGCATACTGTTTTTTTTATTGGGGCTGGTATATGTTCTAAATTACGTATTGTGTAGTCAACCAGAAATTATATTTAATTTCTCGAAGGGCACAGCTAGGTGGTGATTGGCTGCTCTGAGTAACCAGCCCTGCCTGCAGTGCATACTGTGTTATGAAATAAAGGCCTTTAGAGTTGGTAACATTAAGCTCTGCATGTGTGTTTCAGAGGGAAGGAAAGTGTGGAAGTTTAACCCTTCAGCACCACATGTTGGGGCCTGTGCAGCGCATCCCACGATATGAGATGCTGCTTAAGGATTACCTCCGCAAACTGCCTGAAGACTCCTTCGACAGAAAGGATGCAGACAGTAAGAGCAAGCAATGTTATTTACTACTGACAAGTGTTTTTGTTGATTTTATTTAAAAGGGATCTTCTTTTTTTTTTTTAACACCCTATCTGTTTTTGACATGTCCTCCTGTTTTACCATGAGCTGTAATTCAGAGTTCAGTTATAGCACCATTCACAGGTGAGATGTGACATTGCAGTTCATGCACTGCAACATAACAATCTTCCTATAAGTACACTATATTACCAAAAGTATTGGTACACCCCTCCAAATCATTGGATTCAGGTGTTCTGTGAAATTTTCTTCCTACTAAATATTCCACGGTCAACTGTTAGTGGTATTATAACAAAGTGGAAGCAACTGGGAACAACAGCACCTCAGCCACGAAGTCGTAGGCCACGTAAAATGACAGTGCGGGGTCAGCGCATGCTGAAGCGCACAGTGTGCAGAAGTTGCCAACTGTCTGCAGAGTCAATAGCTACAGACCTCCAAACTTCGTGTGGCCTTCAGATTAGCAAAACAACACTGCGTAGAGAGCTTCATGGAATGGGTTTCCATGGCCGAGCAGCTGCATCCAAGCCTTACATCACCAAGTGCAATGCAAAGCGTCGGATACGGTGGTATAAAGCACGCCGCCACTGTGGAGACGTGTTCTCTGGAGTGACGAATCACTCTTCTGGCAATATGATGGACGTGTCTGGGTTTGTCTGTTGCCAGGAGAACGGTACTTGCCTGACTGCATTGTGGCAAGTGTAAAGTTTGGTGGAGGGATTATGGTGTGGGGTTGTTTTTCAGGGGTTGGGCTTGGCCCCTTAGTTCCAGTAAAGGGAACTCTTAAGGCATCAGCATACCAAGACATTTTGGACAATTTCATGCCCCCAACATTGTGGGAACAGTTTGGGGATGGCCCCTTCCTGTTCCAACATGACTGCGCACCAGTGCACAAAGCAAGGTCCATAAAGACATGGATGAGCGGGTTTGGGGTGGAGGAACCTGACTGGCCATCACAGAGTCCTGACCTCAACCCGATAGAACACCTTTGGGATGAATTAGAGCGGAGACTGCGAGCCCGGCCTTCTCCTCCAACATCAGTACCTGACCTCACAAATGTGCTTCTGGAAGAATGGTCAAATATTCCCGTAGACACACTCCTAAACCTTGTGGACGCCTTCCAAGAAGAGTTGAAGCTGTTATAGCGGCAAAGGGTGGGCCAACTCAATATTGAATCCTACGCACTAAGACTGGGATGACATTAAAGTTCATGTGCGTGTGAAGGCGTCCCAATACTTTTGGTAATATAGTGTATATTATCTGAGATGAAGACAGACTTTTTAGTTCAAGAATCAGTTTCTATTTTGACTGTTGAATGACGTGGTTACAATGACTCTATTGATTGCTGTTCCTTTTCCTTCAGAGTCTCTAGAAATTATTTCAACTGCTGCAAGTCACTCCAATACAGCGATTAGGAAAATGGTGAGACCATTATCATTGCGTTATGTTTCCATTGAACCTGTATATGTGTACTAATACCAAAGACCTGTGTACAAAGAGGAGTGATAGATATGCTGGCCTTTGTTTGAGATATGTACACAATTGCAAGAGTCATAGGTGGGGGTGAGCAAACCCGGTTGGGTTCATTTCGAGCTGGTTCAGCAAACCTTTGACGTCTGTGGGGTAGCTGGGTACTGCCATGAGGAGCATTTACTAATTTTAAATCGTTCTTTCATATGGCTTAAAGGGCAACACTAAAAACACACATCTTTTATTAACATTTTTAGGGGATGTCCTAAAGCTGCACTTGGTGTTACAGAACAGTGTAATGTAGTCCTGTGAAATGTACAAATTTAAAAAAAAAAAAGGGAAAAACTGTTGTGTGGTTCTCCCTAAAAATCCACCCAGTCCCTTATTCAGGTACACAGCCTGGGTGACCAGAAAAGGGAGGGCAGCGAGCATGCGGTCCCCCTTTCTTTACCAGACCAAGCCACATGCCTTTCAATGTTTGGGGGGGACAAAGCTATTTTAATGGAGGGAAAGCTTTGTCACTTCCTCTCTATATGCTTGGCTCCCAATTGTTTTCTATCACATGCTGTTGAGTGGTCTACATGGGTTATTTTCTGCATTCTGATCTTCTGCTGGTCCCTAAATTTATCACACCTACACCCTTACGTTATGTCCCTTTGCTGCTGTTTTAGGAAAATTTGAAGAAGCTGTTGATGGTGTATGAAATGCTGGGAGAAGAGGAGGACATCGTCCACCCATCCAATGAGTTTATAAAGGAAGGACAGATCATGAAGCTTGCTGCTCGCAACACATCGACCCAGGAGAGGCATCTCTTCCTGGTATGCCTCATTACTTACAATGTGCCTTTCTGATAAATCATAGGAGTTCAATATAATGTTTCACATCCAGCCTGGTTGATCTGATGCCTTCAATACCAAGAGCCCGATATTTTTTTCTCTGCAACAGATGTTTCTAATCCAGCCAGAATCTAATCTAATCCAGTGCCAAGAAGCATGTATAAAGACAAATGCAGTTAGGTGGTGAATAGCTGAAGAACTAAGGCTTCCCTAGCATTACTTTACCTAAGCATTACCCAGCTGATTCTGGCAGCCAGTTATAAGGTGCTCGTACACCTTACGATAATAAAATTTTCGTACGTTCATAAAAAGATTGTACGACCATCGATCCACTGGCCCACAACGCACAGATGGCGATCGTACGATAGTCGTACAATCCTCCATTTTCTCGTATGATTTTATACAACTGAAATTTATCTCTTGACCCGTTCCACACGCAATTGCAGGTTTCCTCCAGTGGTCCATGGCACTCTGCTTGTAAACAGAAGGATGCTTGGCTGTGGTCCAGTATTCCCGCATCCACTTCCGGTTTCTAATAATCTGCGCATGTCTGCTGAGAATCGTACGACTTTTGACGAACGAAAACCACATACACCGCACAATAATTGTACGACTACACAGAAGTTTTCGAACATGCAGGAAAGACAAAAGTCGTACGATTGTAAAGTACTGGCAGTTGCACACTCCCCATGCACCTTGCGATTGTCGTACGAAAAGTCGATCACATACGATAATCGTAAGGTGTATAGGCACCTTTAGACAGACCTCAGACATAAGGGTTCCAGGGAAACCATTTTTGACTGAACCTCCTGCAGCACTTGTAGTATAATTGACAGATCGTGTATGATGATAGGAGGAGGGAGCAGTGTGAGAAGAGTTAGACTTATCAGGGTATTGCTGCTCCTTTATTGTCCAATCCACAAACTATAGGGAGGTGACCCCACTGTATGCTTTAAGTCAACAGAAAGAAATCCAAACTAGTGATATTTTATATTTAATTAGGGTTGTAAAACAATAGGAAGAGAAAAACAGAAAAGGTTATACCTGCATACATGCTTGATTTGCTGGAATATATTGAAGCGTATCTGAAGCCAAGACACATGTAATATATTGCAGCTTTCCAGTCTTTAGATGTGGTGGCTGCATTAGTTTTCCTTTTTCAGGCTTAATTCCTTTATTTTCACTTGGTGATCCTACCATTAAACCACTTCCTGTCCTAGGCTGCCAATGCTCACTAACTGTATCTATTGAGTAGCAGAGTTTTCTCCCCAGGATGCTTCCCTGAGTTAGTCTAGAAACTCCTTCCCTTCTCCTCATCTCTATTACATAGAGAGTCATTGCATTTTAGTTCATGGATGACAGCTGAGAAAGCTGATAACATTGTTTGAGATATGAATTCAGTGCACAGGAAGGCACAACACAGAATTTCAGACAAAATCAACAGGTATTTTTCTATATTTGCAAAAAATTGCTTAGCCTGAAAAAAGAAAAAATTGCAGCCACCACATCTAAGGACTGGTAAGCTGTGATTTTTCTATTTTTATTTTTTTGTTGTTCTTGGATTTAGATATTCTTTAAGCTCAGCTGCAGCCAATACATTTGCTTTGGTTAATGCAGAGTTAGGGCTTTTGACAGGTTTTTATTGCTGACAGGACAGGTAGGGATGGGAGACCTCAGTGTCTCAGTGACAGCCTTTCCCCCTAAGAATTGTATGGGTGTTACAGGGACAGGAAGTGAAGGGAAATCTCCCCCAGTAGATCACAGACAAAAATTGATTTAAATTTTCCCCACTATACCCAAAACTAAAAAAATATGTAGGCCACAAAGCAGCATAATTGCAGAAACACTTTTGGTGTGTTCATCACAATAACGACTCTCTCTTGCAGTTCAACAACATGTTGCTGTACTGTGTGCCCAAGTTCAGCCTGGCCGGAGGAAAGTACTCCGTACGAACAAAGATTGGTCTGGAGGGGATGAAGGTGGTGGAGACGCAAAACGAAGATCACCGACACACGTTCCAGATCTCTGGTAAAGAGAGGACATTGGAGCTTCAGGCTGGGTAAGACAGCAGAATATATCGGGGGGGGTGCCAATGCCATTCACATTGTATATAATACAAAGAAACGGATTGTGATGCATTACAGCACGTCGACACGCATTCTGCACAAATACATCATGTCGTAATAGCATGTTGGTATGAACTAAAGCTGTAGGACATAAGGCTAATTGCCTTGTTTTTGTATTGGGACTGCATTGGGCAATGCAAGGAAATGCTGCTAGGGTGAAGGAGCTGTGAGTGAGCAGAACTGGGATCCAAGCCTAGGAGACATCAACTGTTAATGAGGGGACAGTATTTAGCAAGGCTTATCCATGAGGGTAAGGCAAGTCAGGCCAAGAGACAAAGCAAAACTAAATCAGACAGGTGCACAGAAGCAGCATCTCAGGTTAATACGGTAATAGAAATGTAGACGTTTCTTCTCTTATGCAAAACTTGTGTTTTTATACCGAGTGGAGCTAAAGTTTGTAGTACTATCTCTGCTTTAACGATGTAACATTCTTGAGCTGCACTGCTGCCCTTGACATTTTCACCTTCATTTGGATTTGGTGTCCATGTCCATACTTATTGGCAGGCCTGGAGTGACCAAACAGCACAGCACAAACACCAAGCACAGCACCAAGGCATGCCGGGATTGTACACTGAGTTACGCAGCTCAATGTACAGTCTAAAGACTTTTGTGAACAAGCAGGTAATGAGCATTTATTGTAGAAGAAACGTAGTATGTCTCCTCTGCAATAAAAATCCTTCCTGCAAGAATTTTCTTTCAAGTTAAACTCCTCTTTACAATTGATCTATTTTGTTTTTACCAATTATTTATCTGAAGCATCTACCAAAAGCTTAACAGTCAGTAAGTGGACAGATCATATTAACTGATTATGGTGTAATAGATTACAGGGTAATGGGATAGGAATCAAATGTGGCAGCAAGGCAACAACGTTGCTTATGTAACAAGGAGATGATTACTGTATAACTTACAATAATTCTTGTGTTCTGTTTTTTTTTAATTTCAGTTCAGAACAAATCAAGGTGGAATGGATCAAGGTACTTGCAGTTCTGTGTGTCACTTACAACTAACTAATAAACAGAATGAACATGTATATACTAGCAATCAAGGAAAATCCCGCATTCCATTGGCACACACACACGATCAGGATAAATAAGTCAATGTTTCAATATCCTATGTTCATGGAGATGTGATATGAACAAGAAAAATGATTTTGTAATAAACATGATATTGTGAGTCTCTCCTGATTGTGCGTGTGCCAATGGAATGCGGGATTTCCTTGATTGCTACTATACACATGTGATATATCGATTGATGTCAAACAACAGCATTAAGGATTTCATGGATGACGTAGTTTTTTCACCATACATACTCACTGATACGTTCATTCTATAGCGGACTTTGGTGCTTTTGGGGTCCACACATATACTTACTAGATTTACCTTTTCTTATGGATAGCCGAGTGTAAAATACTTTCTTATGATGTTTTAAATGTCTTTTTTCATATCTATATAATAAATTATATGTATCTTAGTATGCAGATTTAATTCATTTATACAATTGCGTTAATTGATATCATGCTGGGATCTCCTTCAAGGGGATCTGTGGAAAAATTTTTAAATGTTACTCGGCTACCTAAATTAGTATGGGTCTCCTTTTAATCCCCACTACAACCGCAGTCAAAGGGAGGGGCAACACTATGGCCAATCAGACCCTGTTGCCTGCACATGTGCTGCTAAGAGCAAAGTGGTTACTTATCAGTGCACTGCTGCTCCTTCATGGTCTAATCATCAGCCTAGGGGTATTTTTCTAACTACAATGGAGGTCCAGAATGTGCCTTTTCTGTTTGGCAGAGGTGTCTGGCTTGCTGCTCAGAATTACAAATGATTTGGCAGGTGAAACAGTTTCCATACAGGTATTTCATCTCCACTTGCCTGTAGTTCAGCTTTGAATCATTATCTAAGCGCTCATATTTGAGAAAGATGTAGAAACCTGTAGTGTGGGTGTAGGTAGTAGCAGTTTGGCACATTTAACTGAACTTGCTTTGTAATGTTGAAGATTTTCCCCGCTTATTAAAGTGACTAAGGAAGTTTGGATGAGTACTGAAATGTAAGAAGAAAAAAAAGGGAGGACAGCACCCATTTATAGTGTAAAACCGTTTTTTTATTTGATAGAGTAAAAAATAATACAAAAAACTACTCACAATTTGGATGAACCATGATAGCATGCAGTTGTCAACAAAAACAGAAAAGCTGACGCGCATTTCGGGGTAGTATCACCCTTCCTCAGACCTATGAGTACTGAAATGTCTTTAAAATGACAAAACAAGTCCAGTTGAATATAGGTAAATGCTACTCGTTGTGCCATGACTTGGATAGATGAGAACCTCCACAGACAACTTCTAGCTTGGCTTATCTCGTGGTAAACAGAAGTTTTCTAACCTTTTCTATGAGATCTCTTGGCCAGAAGGGCTTCAGGTCTCCACAGAGTCTCACAATATACATATTTAGATTTATGCTTCTGACCTTTTGTATAAGCATTGCATCTAAATTTCAGACAGATATAAAAGACACAAATGAATGCAGATAGGCATCAGTTAATAAATCATTTTTTTATTTTTTTTACTAGCAAGCAGTGTAAGTACCCCAATTTAACTTGGTATCAGCCTATTAAAATCAGGGCCGGTGCAAGAATTTTTTCCTACACAGGCAAAGGTGCATTTTTGCGCCCCACTACCACATTCCGACCGCCATGTGGTGGTGTGAATAGGCACCATCTTTGACAAGGCAAATTGCATTGTCTTGCATTGGGGCTGCACTGGAAACAACGGCCAGCGCAGCTCCAATGCAGATGGTGTGAATGGACCATAAGTGGTGTCATCCTCCTGGGAGATGAACTGTGTCAGTCTCAGGACCGAGTAGATAAAAAAACCAAATCCTTTAGCATGTAAAACTGCAACCATATAAGTATTTTATCGGTGTATTTAGACATTTGCACGAAGTTCAGTTTTAAGGTGTTTTTGCCGTTGAAACAGGTTTTGAATGACGCCGCCACAGATTTCCAGCAGAGGAACGAAACTTTCCTGATAGCTAAAAAAGTTGATGAGGCTCCACTGGAGGTTCCGGTGAGTTACGACTTTTCACTTATTGTGGGTATATATTTATTTTATGTCTGCTGACGCATGAGAATGCCAGGACCAGCTGATGAAAGAAACATTCAGCCTTATATCTTAGCAGCAGCATTAGAAATTTACATGGAATTTCTCTTTTGCTGATTGAAAAGGAAGTTACTCTTGTTTTTTGCTCTTCCTCTTTATGGTGACAGCAGACAGCTGGGAGGAGTTGGCATGAATGTGTTTAAATTTGATATCTTACAAAGATGTGGATTCACTATTGCAATAAGATCCCCGATTCGTGGCTGTCGACCCCTAAACCACTGAAACATAAAATGTTTGTCCAGGAATTATCCAGATTTAACCCCAAACCTCCCTCTTCTCTCTGAAGCACGTCCCAGCTTTTTTACTTTAGCAAGGAACTGCTTTTCTTACTTCCTGTGACACCATCACCTGGCTTGTACAATTTGGTATGAGGTAGATAAGAGCAAAGTTCCTATTAACCTTGACATGCCCCAGAACTGCATCTCCCAAGACCAATTTTCCCTATATGCAGTGTGTGGGCAGGCTCTTAGGAGTCAAGACAGCAGCCTTGTTTTGCTGGGAATGAAATCAATGTAGGTATGTGGAGAGACACAGAGAGGGGTGGGGGATAGGCGGCATTCTCAAGTCTAGGGCTGACAGCACCAGTTGGGATTTCACTGCAGAAAAAGCACTGTGTTGCCAGCCCATATAGTGGAATACAGGTAGCCACTAGAGGAAGATTTTAGAAGTTTGTGTGTATTAAATTATAAAAATGAAAATGTGGAAAGCATTATTGTGAGCATTACAACAATGGCCTAAAATGTATTCATTAAAATATACTGTAGTTTGCCATTAGGGCCCTGTCATGTCTGGCCATTGCAGAGATGTGAGCTGCATTTTAACACACTAGGCCTGCTTTTTTTTTTTAATGCACTGCAACAGTATGCGCCTTGTATTGCAGTGCAGGTCTGTTGGCACATACCGTACTGTGTGTTGGGGGTACCATTGGAAATTACTGGCTCTGTGAAGAGTGCTTTCTCTTACTGTGCATTGCAGTAACAATCATTAAAACTCCTGTGAAACTGCATCCCAGACGTTTGATGGGGACCTAAATTTGCCTCTGTATTCATCATATTCCTTCTGCTGCCTCTACAAACAGGATTTTAACACTGTGACTTCTCAATCTTAAATCCAGAGTGCTGAACTGGGACTCCGAGCACCACGGTGGATTCGGGACAATGAAGTGACAATGTGCATGAAGTGCAAAGAACCATTTAATGCCCTGACACGGAGGAGACACCACTGCCGGGCCTGCGGCTATGTATGTTACAAAGGGAGATACTTTGCTTATTTTACCAGTAACAAAGTAACAATGTTATGTAATGGGCTTATCACACCAGAGACACCCGGTGGCATACTGAGAGGTCATGGGTGTAAATCTTGGTTGGGATTTAGCTAAATGGCATCTGTAGTCTAAGGCCCCGTTCACATTGAGCGATTTGCAAATCGCGCGTTTGTCGCGCTATTTGCATTTTGCACGATATCGCGCAAATGCTTGCATTAAAAACCATTGAATCGCGGCAAAATCCGCTCCAAAAAGGGTCCTGCTGTAGCGACACACGACCCACGACAGCAGGACCCTTTGCCCCATTGCAAAGCATTGAAGAGCGATATTGCGCGGTGAATAGCCGCGATATCGCGGGAATTACCACGCGATAAATCGCTCAATGTGAACGGGGCCTTATTGTGCTTCCCTTTCTCCCAAATCTGCCACTGTAGAACCTTGAAAATCCTATGCAATGATTGACTTTCTGAAGGTCGGTACTTGCATAGTGAATACATGACCCCCATGTGACAGCATTAAGCCTATTGATTGGCCACTCAGACGCTGAATTGTGGGAGGTAAGCAAAAGTGTCACACTTGCCCTCTATCCAGAAGTATTGGGTTTTTCTTGTCTAGCTACCACCCAAGTTATAATGTAAGATATTTGTCGAAGTTCTGTTTCGATACAAATATAATTGAATTTCATGATTTTCTTTCTAGGTGGTTTGTTGGAAGTGCTCTGATTACAAAGCTCCTCTAGAGTACGATGGTAACAAACTCAACAAAGTTTGCAAGGATTGCTACCATATATTGCGAGGCAGTAATGACAGCGAGGAAAAAGAGAAGAAGAAGGGGATCCTGGAGGTAGGCAACTTGGAGACCAGATCCTGTGCTATGAAAGCGTTTAAAGCCTAAATGTCATTAATGCACCTTTTCCCCCAGCAATGGCCACCTAAATGTGGCAGAAAAGTGACCCACTTTCCTCTCTCCCTGCTCTAAACTTAGGAAGTTTCAGTCACAGGGAGAAAGTCACAATGGAAGAAGCTACTGCTGGGCTGTTTCATTGGAAAAACCCAGAATGTTCTGCAAAAGCAGTGCCATGGCTGTATTGTGAATTAAAAGATTATTTGCCAAATAAAAGGGTGTGTTATATATACACCAGTTAGCCATGACGTCATCACCACTGAAAGGCGAAGTGAATAACGTTGATAATCTTGTTACAATGGCACCTGAAAGTAGGTGGGAAATATTAGGCACCAAGTGAGCATTTTGTCCCTGAAGTTGATGTGTTGGAAGCAGAAAAAATGGGGAAGCGTGAGGCCTGGTTCACACCTGTACGTTTTGTAGCGCGTTCAACGCTCTTCGAACGCTCTAAAAAACGCTCAAACATGAAAATCCCATTGTTTTATATGGGTATGGTTCACACCTTGACGTATTTCAGCCCGTCTGAACGCGCTACAAAACGGCCTACGCCTAAAAAGGTACATGAGCTTCTTTGCGTCGTTTTTGTCGCGCGTTTCCATTGGGATACAGCCAAATAGCCCTCGGAAACGCGCGTATGTCACGCGATTTTTTTTACCACAAATCGCGCATATTCAATACGCCTAGGTGTGAACAGAGCCTAAGGATCTGAATGACTCTGATACACACACCAGTTTGCACGGCAGGTGGCTCTCAATCCTGGTCGTCACTGACCCAATCATGTGATCATGATGTCAGCTATGCCATAATGATTACATGCAGGCTGGAAGCTTTATTGATGAACTAAGCCCTCAGCCTGCAGATGAACACTGCCATCTTCAGGCTGCAGTGGGGCCTGCATTGTCATCTATTTAATAGTCCGATACAATTGCAATACAAAAAATAGTAATAAATCATTTAAAAAGGTAGAAATAAAACGTAATTTTAACATTTCTTGTGCGCTTGTCAACCTATAATAAAAAATGTTTTCCATTATTTAGGTAGATAAATTAGTCATAGATAAAGTCAAGTTAATTAGTGCTGACACTGCTAAACTTGGCCTACCCACCTAGGTTTCAGTGAACTATGGTCAGGAAGGGATTGACTCAAGCCCAGAAGGCATATTAAGGACGCTGCATTGGATTTGCATTGTATTATATAACATTTAGACTAAGGTTTTTAGTACTCTCAAATAGGGTTTAAGTCTTTGTGATACCAGTTCACTGACTGTATTTATATGTTTTCCAAAATTGCTTCCTAATGCCATTTTATCATTAATGGTGGCCTATGTTACCGTACAATGTTATGTGTTTTGTTTTTTTTTCACGCCATCAGATTGAGTCTGCAGAGGTGTCAGGAAACAGCGTAATCTGCAGTTTTCTCCAGTACAATGAAAAATCCAAACCCTGGCAGAAAGTTTGGTGTGTGATCCCTAAACAGGAGGCACTTGTGTTGTACATGTATGGAGCACCACAGGTATGAACAGTGTGTGGAACCTGCCAAACATATACTGAATATTTGATATAAGAAGTGGCTTTCTTTTCTTTTGCCCCTAGTGTAATTTGTGATATGGAGTGATATGCATCCCCAAGGGAAGATTGCCCCACTCCTGTTCCAGAAAAAAACATAACATTTAGAGTTTCTCATCATTTTCTGTCCTGACAGAGGCTGTAACCCTTCCTTATTCTGTCCATGAAGCAAAACAGTTTTGGCATTAAATACTTTATTATAGGAATGCTTGTAAGGAAGAACTGAAGATTAGGTCTCGTAGATAGTCTGCCCAGAGTCAAAGTACACAATATGGCCAAAAGTATGTGGACACTCCTACATTATTGAGTTCAGGTGTTTTAAGTGGAGGTTATTGTTAATACTTTGGCATACAAAGATATTTTAGACCATTTTGCATTTCCAACCTTGCGGTAACGGTTTGAGGAAGTACCCTTTGTGCTTCGGCATGCCTGTGCCCCTGTGTACAAAGCCAGGTTCATAAAGACATGGCTTGACTAGACTAGTGTGAAGGCACTCAAGTAGCCTGCGCAGGGCGCTGACCTCAACCCTACTGAACACTTTTAGGATGAATTGGAACACCAACTGCGATCCAGGCCTTCTCATCCAACATCAGTACCTGGCCTCACAAATGCTCTTCTGGCTGAATGGACACAGATTCCCACTGACACGCTCCAAAGTACTGTGAAAAACCCTCCCAGAAAAGTGGAGACTGTTATGGCCTCAAAGGAGGCCAGCTCTATATTAATGGCCATAGTTTTGGAATGGGATGTCCAACAAGCTCTTATAGGTGTGATGGCCAGGTGTCCACACATGTTTGTCCATGTAGAGTCAATAATTTTTTTCTTTCTTTTCTTTTAGGAAATATTTGTGTAAAATAATTTTTTAATGTGTGCCAATTTAATGTTGTTTTCCAGGATGTGAAGGCCCAGACCAGCATCCCGCTTCTGGGCTACCTCGTTGACGATTCCCCTCGTGGGGTAGATATGCAGTTCAGCTTCAGACTGTCCCAGTCTAAGTCGACACACTGCTTCTCTGCTGACACCGAGGAACTGAAACAGAGGTGGCTTAAGGTCATCAACCTGGCCGTGAAAGGGTTAACTCAGGAAGATATAGAAGATTACAGTACCGAAGATGGACAGTTGGAAGGTTCTCAATAGCTTCCAGAGTCTTACTCTCGTATCACAATCAATTAAGACTAAACAATTTGTACATATTGAAGACTGGCCATGCTTGATGGAAAAGCTGCGGACTTTGGATATTCGGCTGCACGCCCGATCACAAAATAAAATTGAAAAAAATCCTTCTCAGTGCCAACAATGTTTAACCCTGAGACATTGTCGAGAAACTGGTTCGCGTATCTTGCTGGCAAGAGACACTAGTAAGATGAAAACTGTGATTTGTGCAAGACCTTGATAGCACTACATATTGTTATGCTCCAGATCCTCGAAATTCAAGTTGCGCCATCGTCTGCAAAGCTATTCCATTCGTCGCACAAACAAAAGTGGTTCATACTGCTGGTATGGAGACTGCTGTCTGAAGGCTTCAGTTAGAGATATCACTTAGGTGTTTCCAGTGCGATCTTTGTATTAATTAATTGCACAATCAACTACAAGATGTAAAAAAATTAATCATCCAGCTTTTTGTTGTTGTTGCAGATTTGACATTCAGCTTTCCACATTTAAAGGCACAAAGATATAAGAGCGTGAAAGCACACGGAGGGTTGAAGGGAGGTCTGCGGCCTGTTGTCAAACCTCCGACGTTTTTGTCTGGAAATTAAGATTTTCTAAATATTTATTTACTGTGAATTGTACAAATGTATTAGTATATTAAATTGTGACATATTGCCCACTTTTATAGAGAGTTTGCAGCGACCTTGCTTTGAACTGCACGCGGTGCGGTGAATTATTGTTTGAACGCCCGCTGGTATAAAAAGTAGAAAGCAAAATATCCTATTTATATAATGTTTTCTGTTTCTTCAGTGGCTATGATATGATGGCCATTGTTTTAAGTCTGGTTTTGTTGCCTTTTGCAGCAAGTATGTGTTACCTGTAAACATTGAGGAAGCCATTTTGTTTTCTGAGGTAGTATTTGTGGGAATGTGGTGTGTGTGTGTTAGGAGATTCAAGTAAATATAAGTTGTTAATTATTGTAAATGAGCAAGGGACATATTTAGGGAATACCTACGTACGTGGGTTTAGTACGGACGTATACTGTGCACAGCCATTCATGATTATGGGTGGCTGTACGCACCAGCTGTGTAACCCTGGTGTGGAAACAAGCCTGAATTGACATTGTACTTTCCTAAATTGGCCCGTGTGCACGAGCCCTTCTAGTATCTTGACAGAAGTCTATAAAAAATAATTTAAAAAAAGACAATTTTAGCTGGAGTGGGGCTTCAATTTCTCTTGGATTAACCTCTTGAAGGTTAAAAGGCCTCATGCATAAAAATGTCCAGAGGAAAAAAAACCTTCTTGTTGCTTATAGTAACTATTTTGTCTTTTTAATTTTCCTCTGCACTAGAAACCGAAGAACATGGTTGCTATTGGCTACAAAACTGGCATACGTCCTCAGAATCCCATCATTGTGACAAGTTCTCTTTTTTTTTTAATGTATGAGCACCAAAGTGCTTCAAGTTTGTCACTTGTCTGGTATTCATTTTTATTCTACTTTACCTAAGCGGTCTGCGTCAACAGTGATTTTATCATGAGGTTACATCAGACCACAAAATGGCTCCCTCTGCCGTGATCGTCGTGATAGTGCTGGTGATAGACTCTCGCTCTGTATCAATAGCTGGGCAAAAACAGACACCCCTTAACGTGTATATTGCTGCCTAAACATAGTAGATTGTACAGTCTGATTGTATCATGTGTGGACGACGTTAGCCTTTTGTTGCCTTTCCCCTAATTTTTAGGTAGAGTGCCTTTTGCTTGTCTGAATTTCATGCCTTTTATTTTGAGAGCTGATCGTAAGCTAGAATTTTTCAGTACTTTGGAATCGTATGCGTAGTCCTTATGGTAAAGTCAAAAGCACACATTTTCTATTGGTATCAGGGTCACTGAGCCTAACAGTGGGTCAGGGTCTGGGTTTGTGTACAGGAGCGTTCTCTGAAACGCACAGCAAACGCAGGTCAGCAGATTACCTCAATGGTATGGTGTTGTGAGGCTTTGTTTGACCATTTATATTGCAGGTACAGCAGGTTAAACACAGGCTTTGTGTTCAAACTGTGTATGATACTTTTTCCTCCATAATTCTAGGTGAGGCTCTGCCTCCTCTGACCGCACGTCCCTGATGTACAAACTTTGCCCTGACAAGGGTGGGCAATTGTAATGTCAGTTGCACAATTCATAGGAAGCCCGGCAGAGCCAAACCACCTCCATATCTAAAATATTATAACATATGTACATAGATAGAGTGCAGCGTTTCAATAACTTTATATCACACTCCATTGTGTAAAATAAGTGTACCAACAGAGATCCTATTCAATAACTAAATCAGTAACTATCGCCAGCACAAAACAATATTGTTGTGCACATATGCTTCTAATGTATCTTAATACATAAATTGTGATAAAATTAAAATACAAATACATATCCCCAATGAGGAAATATTTCTATACATAGATGGGCAGCACAGTGGTTTAGTGGTTAGCACCTCTGCCTGGAGTTTGCATGTTCTCCCTGTGCTTACGAGAGTTTCCTCCAGGTGCTTCAGTTTCCTCCCACACCTCAACGACATGCTGGTAGGTTATTTCGCTCCTTTCTAAATTGGTCCTAGTATATGTGTACAATAGGGACCTTAGATTGTAAGCTCTTTTAGGGCAGAGACTGATGTGTAGGGTGCAGTATGGAAAGCACTGTGTAAATTGTTGGCGCTATATAAATGACTGTAATAAATAAATACATTGAACATGTATTATAACAATGTATTAGTGACCATGTTGAAAAAGGTGTTGGCGAATCCATTCCTCCACCTCCAATAAAACCAAAAACACAAATCCACTCCAGACGACACTCCCTTCTCCAATGGAATAGAATTCACCTCTCATAATGGACCTCTACTAAGGTATACTGTATTAGTAGGGTCAGTCATGCATATCCCCAGACAATGGGGTTAATAACACTTATCAGGTAAAATATAACATACTCCAGGACTTTTCCCATATCTCAATAGGAAGTGCACATGTAATGGGTACACTGGATCCAGGTATCTGGTGGACAGTCTCTGTGGGTAACTGAAGGGTAACCATTCCTGCGTTGTTCTGATTTCAGCTGGACTGTTAGAAGATCGGCTGTAATCAGAACAAAACCGGAACTGTGGGGTCTCTGGTGACCTACAGTGGCTATCCACCACATACTAGTACATAAAAGTCCAGGAAATTCTATAGTCTGACCTGATAGAATTATTGACCCTATTGCCTGGGGATAAGCATAAAGCTTAGCATAAACGGTCCATTATAAGAAGTGAGTTCTATTCCATTGAAGAAGTGTCGCCTGGAGTGGTTTTTGGTTTTATTGGACGTGGGGGGAATGGGTTCACTAACACTTTTTACTTGGATGCTATTACATTGCTATAATACATTTTCATGTATTATATAAGCATTACTTGGACGCTATTATATCTGGAGGTGTACAAACATTGTTATAATACATTTGTATGTACAGTATTTATGTATAGTAATGTTTCCTCACTGGTGATGTGTATGTTGATACTATCACGTTTTATGCTATAAGATACACTAGAAGCATATATGCACATTGTTTTGTGCTCATGATAGTTATTGATTTAGGGGGTGTCTCTGTTGGTACACCTATTTTCCACAATGGGGTGTGTGTACCATGTTTTTATAGCTCTGCCCTGTATCTATGTACACGTTATGCTATGTTAGACGGGCTATTTGTTTATAGTGCTGGCTGCTGACTCACTTTGTAGTTTAGTTTAAAGGCCAACTCTGAGAATTGTACACAAACTATGTCTGCATTGCCCCCCCCCCCTGCCCCCCCCCATCCACATGAAGCAAGCGTGAAATGCTCTAGTCTAGAAGTGGAGGAAAAGGCTGTATTATATGCCTTACTCCTCAGTCCAGCAGGCTTTGGTGCTCTCCTTTTCTCTTGTACTCTCCTCTTCTCTCCGATGCCCCAGTGCTCTCCTCTTCTCTCCCATGGTCTGGGGTTGTGGATGGGCCCTTAATGTCCTGCTTTGTGCTTGATACAACTACAGGCTGGAGCATCTTAGAAAAGAGGCTGCACAGATGGAGGGAGGGTGAGTATTACACTTTTATTCCATTTTTTTTTTTTTTTTTTTTTTTGTCTCTTCTGGTTGGGCTTTAAGCGGAGAAGGTTCCTATTTTGGGAATGTTTGCATATCTAACATATCAGGTGCCCGACTCTTGTCAGAACAGACTGGGTGTCAGAAGGACAATGGATTGCCATGGCAATGCCACCTCTGTTGGCACTCATGCAGGTAACCTCTGAGGTGAAAAAGCCCCAATCATAAAGATATGATTTTTTTTAAAAAGGGACATTTCCTTTAATTATGTCTATAGATCTCAGGTATATGAATATATATGTTTGTGCATTCCATTCGTTACTCAAATAAAAGCAGCTGTTTGCCTATGTTCAGTAAAATTACAGTCAATACCCATTAAACCTGAACTCTAGTCAGATATAAAAGAGACAAATTATTACAACTCTGTGTTCATTCATACAATGTTGCTGTTGGTGGTGTTTTTTTTTTGTTTAAATACACGCAGTATATGTACCTGAAATTTACTAGGTATTGGCCTCCTGCAGACCCTGTACAGCAGGGCTGGAGTGTGAAAGCAACAAGCAGTACAAGTAGCCAATCAGTTCATGTGCTGACAAGAAGCATACAGATAGGAGGCAATAGCACAGTGACAGATGAGCTCACCACTGTGCTGCTTCTCCTTTCACTGTCCAGTCATAGACTGGGGGCATGTTCAGGATGACCTGGGCCCTGAGGAAGTGGGTTAAATGACGCTGTTAATCAGACTGAGGACATCTAGCGACCAAAAAAAAGTACCGCAGGGGAAATCTCTGGATTGAAGCTGAATATTGCAGTAAAAGCTGCCATTTGTTATTCTTTAATGTAACTATGGATAACATAACAAATGACTTAGATGATGCAATCTGTCACTTGCATGAAAGCTGAACTCCCGGCAGATATAAAATACACAAATTCATCCAACTCTGTGGGCAAAGGGGGGGAGGGTACCTCATTCTCACCGAGGGGGGGGGGGGTTGTCATTCAATGAAAAGTGAAGTTCTTCTTTAAACCTGTTTTTAAAAAAAAAAGAAAACTTTTTTGTCTTTTGGAAAAGTGTTAGCTGGAGTTGGGCTTTAATTTGTTTGTCTTTTACATAACGTCCATTAAAAAAAATGTCCATCTAAGACTAACCTGGGTGACAACACTGCTGTGCAATTCCACTGCGTTGTCACACTGTCAAAGGAAGTATAACAATAACGGATATACTGGCAGGTTAAACAGTTAATACAACTTATGGGGTAGAGCTGTGTTCATGCTAGTGACAGGCTGCAGAATATCTTCTTTGTCCATAGTTCCACTTTAAGCACCTTCAGTGAATACATCATGGCCGGAGACATGGATTCAGGATAGGTAGATCTTGTAATCCCCAGACATCTGTTTTGGTTGGAGTTAAGCATTGAAAAGTAAAAAGCCGCCTGCTGCAGCAGAAGAAGCAAGACTCTACACTGGGGGTGGCACATATGATGTCTGAAGAAATATTCAAAGTCACCCACCAATAACTGAAATACACTGTAACTGTACAAAACGTACTTCGTAAAGTGGACCTGTCCTAAACCTTGATAGCTTCACTGTCCGGACCACAGTATGAGACATGGGTGTCAGAAAATGACTTCTTCCAGCTGAGGCTTCCCACACTTGGTGACATCGTATTGGACGTTGAATACTTTCTAAGCTGTAATATTTACTGTACCATATGTATATTTTGATCTGTGATTGTGTTCTATAAGATAAGCACTCTAATTACTGTTAAATAGCTGCAGATTTCTACTATGTACAAAAAATTATAGAAGAATAATCATGATAATGACCGAATGATGAAGCGGCTTCCACTGTCCATTTGGCTAGAATGAGAAATAAAGTGTCAAAAGCTGGTCAAATCAAATGTATTGTTTTATGGTGATTCCATGTTTGTGCCACGATGGCTACGGTGCCATTATCTTCAATGCACCGCCACACAATAAATTGAGCCAGGCCGCAATGCGATCCAGTGCGTTCCGGCCACAATCGGGCCGGCGCGCACTGAGGATGGTGTGAACTAGCCCTTAAAGCATTTGATAAATTTTTGGTTGGAAAAAAATGTTTAACCCTGCAAGACAATGACACATACACGTGACAAAAAAGCACATATACAATCACTACCTACCTGGACCTGCTACAGCTCTCCTCCAGAATGATCTCACTCACGGCTCCCGATCTCTGTGGCTCCAGCTCCAGGCTGCTAACTCCTGCACTCAGTCTCCACGCTGCCTGGATGTCCCGCCAGCTCCCTCGCCACGTTGACTGCTAGGTTTTGGAGTTCTCTGACAGGCCATGCCCCCTGCTACCGCGGTCCACCACCCGCAAGTGTCAAACACCGCGGGCAGCTGGCCCTCTTCTCTCTCTCTCGATCAGGTCTGAGGAAATATGCACAGAACGTTCTTTTTTTTGCCTCTGTTTGTACAGAACGAACACTTAAAGGGATTCGCAGGGTGAATTGTTTATAAAAAGAGCCTTTACACATTATTTGGCATACATGTGCTTAACGTAAAAAATATATGTCTAATGCTAGGTCCGCATTCCTGAGCGCTTGTGATGTTTTAGAAATATTCATGTCACCCTCTTGGTTAGTCCTATACGACCCAGCCTTGCCAGAGCACAGCGATGGGCTTTGGTCCATTGAGCTGTGTTTATAGTCAACTGACTGAACACTGGTCATACACTCTGGAACTTTCTAGGCAACCCACCA